TCAGGCCCTACCCCAGACCTACTGAATCCAAATCTGCATTTAATCAGGCCCCCAGGTGATTCATCTGCATGTTCAAATGCAGGTAGCATACGCACACATTACACTGCACTAGAGCAAATGGGACCTGCAGAGTCCTGACAGCACAGCAAGTCTGTGGATGGAAAAGGCTTCAGTGAGAGGCAGGCACAACCTTGCCTCCACTTGGCCAGAAAAGGCTTTGTTTGCAACTGTTTTTTGTGCAAGTTCCACTCACATCCATTATGTCATTTATTCAACGACATACTTCAAAGGTTGGGAAGGGGGTAATAAAACAGAGGACGCACTTTTAAAAGTCAAAATGCAAGTTAATAATTTTATGGTCGGTGTAGACTGAGGTGGCACAAAGGACATATGCTGGTGGGAGAGACTTCTAAAAGTTTTATTACCCCTTTGCTGGGAGACTGGCTTAACTTGCGGCTCCTGTCTTTCCTCACTTAACTTATAAACATTTGGCAGCCTTACATCACTGCAAGAGCATCTGAAAGGAAGCTAAAAAGAAAACCTCCATCCAGTGCTAACCTTTGTGGGAAAAACAGTCTTAATTCCAGGGTGGTAAGGCTGATGAAGCTGTTGTGTTGATTTAATTCAGATTAATTTACTGTATATTCAATAATAAATGTACAGGTACTTCTTTAGTAAACATCTCATTAAATCAATCATCCATGCTGTCCCAGTGTTTTTCTCTGCCTGTTTACAATGACAACCATCTATAATAATACCTACATTTATACTCATATAGCATTTACCATGTGCCAGGCATAGTGCCGAGCCCTTACAAATACATCTAGTTTAATCCTTACTATAACCCTATGAGGTAGGTATTATTATTACCCTTATTTAACAGATGAAAAACCTGTAGTACAGAGAGGTTAAATAACTTGTCCAAGGTTGCACAGTCAGTAAGTGGCACAGTCAGGATTTTACCTCAGATAGTCTGACTGTAAAGCCCTTGCTCCTAATTATCACACATGATAGATATCTACTTACCGTCCCATCTTTGATGAAAGTATGGCACAGATCTGCAATTTTATTTCTTGACAGTGATATTCTCCTGAGAAAAAGCTCTCCCCGTTCAATCATGATCTTTTTACATTTGGAGTAATCCTAGGAAGAAAACAGTAAAATGAGGGCACAGGGAAGATCCAGGTAAAGCTGAGGATATCTGTAGCCAAACAGAAGTGGAAAGGTAACCTGGGGGAGGGCAGTGGCTTACAGAGTATTCCAGGGAGGTAAGGCTGATGAAGCGAAGGAAGAGCTCCCCGCCAGAGGACACTGCCACAGAGGAGTCCACGCCACATAGGGTTTCTATGGCACTGGTGAGGTTTGCTCTCAGGCCCTGGATTGTCTCTCCTGAAATGATCAAACAAGGAATGCGACATTCACTTTAGTATCAAAGCCCCATCCTGGGTCTGCAGTTAATGAATTCATTCATTCACTCATTCATTCAATGAATATTTACAGGGTGCACACTGTATGGCCAGGCACTGTTCCAGGTGCTACGGATACATCAGTGAACAAGACAGATAGGGCTCTGCTCTAATGGAGCTCCCTTTCTAGTGAATGAGGCAGACAATAAACAAGCACACAAAGAAATAAGTGAGTTACAGACTATAATAAAGACAAAAAAAAAAAGCAGAATGGTGAGCAAGGTGGAGCTACTTAACAGGGATGGCCTTTTGGAGTGGGGGCCATTCAAACTGAGACCTGAGTGCCGGCCCGTGGCTCACTCGGGAGAGTGCGGTGCTGATAACACCAAGGCCCCGGGTTCGGATCCCATATAGGGATGGCCGGTTCGCTCACTGGCTGAGCGTGGTGCTGACAACACCAAGTCAAGGGTTAAGATCCCCTTACCGGTCATCTTTTTAAAAAAAAAAAAAAAACCAAAAAACTGAGACCTGAGTAGGAAAGGATCCAGGGGCAGACTATAACAATGCAAAGGCACCAAGATGGGAACAAAGTTGGTATGAGAAACAAAGAGAGGCCAGCACAGCTGAAGCACAGTTCACTGATGGACAACATGGAAGGCAATCAAGTAGCAGTGGCAGATGAGGTCTGCAAAGCAGTGTAGGTGAGACTAAGGTGTTTGAATGTTGTTGTAAGTACAATGGTAAGACATTGAAGGTGGTCTTAGAGACACATGCCTTCAGATTAAAGAAGCCTGCTTCATTATTATTATTTTGCTTATGCAAATGTCATGCTATACCCAAATGCTTACATTTAGAATGTTGAATTAGTAGATCACAATGAATATTAATACCAGAATTTATTCTGAACATTCTCTGTAGCATCTGCATAGAATCTGGCACAAGGTAGAAGCTCAATAAATACTTGTAAAGTTGAAGTATTGCTGCAATTTAAGCTTCATGGTTAACTCAGTATAAAATAGTCACTCTTGATTCCAAGCATATTTTATTTATGAAACCCTTTTGATGATAATTTGAGGACTCTATCCAGGTTGAAAGACATGAAATGAAGGCAAAAGCTGAGCTTGGGGCCGCATTACCTTCTGTAGGCAACATGCATCTCACTTTCTACATTTCCAGCAGCCATTAGAAAATTTTCCTAAGGCTGAGAGTGTTCAAGAATGACCTTCTTTACCTTTATCTCTCTTCAAGAACTCCAGCAAAGTCCGGATGGCAGCCACTGCTGAGGCCATGTCACGATCTTCTTTCATCTGAGACTTAAAGTATTTAATTAACTCTGGGAAGGGAGAAAAAAGTGATTCATCAAGTTCATTTCACAGGATTTAAGGCTAGAGAGTTTGTTAATAATTGTCGACCTTAAAAAGCAAAATAATTTTTAAAATACTGTATTTTCTTTTCAGGGTATTTGGTTTCAGGGACATGATAAATGTTGATGGGAATAGAGATGACACTACTTTACTGTTTGGAAGATCTGTTTTTTATTCTGAAAAAGCTGTCAGTGTAGAAAAACATAAAATTTAAGCTCTACTAAATGACAATGAAAAGTCACTCTTCTAGGCCCTAAGTTCTGAGACATCCCAGAAACAACTCACCTTACCAATTTCTCCTGTACACTTCCAGACAGTCTACGCTGATTCAAGTCTACTCTCATACATATACTCGTATATACACATACATGTACAAGTAGAGTTCCACTCATACCCTTTATTTTTTTACAGGAAAGGTATTATATTAGTTTGCACTTTGTTTTTCACTTAATAAAACACCTTGATAACCATACTAGACGAGCACATCAAATACGCCTTCTTCTTTTGATTCTAGTAAACAAATCCAACAGGGCAGGGAGTCCTATTCCTACTTCAAGTGTAAGGAAATCAAGGCCTACACACACCGTCCGAAAAGTCTCACATTTTTGGATGAAGGAACTGGGAAGGAGCGTGGTGCGGAGGGCGGGGAGTGGGGCCTGCAGATACTCTCGGGGCCCATCCCCTGGATACGGGAGCGGCGAAGGGGATTCAGTCGTGACTAGAGAAAACACATCCAGCCTAGCAGCCCGAGCTTAGAAAGCGACCTCTCCCAGAGCACAGCCTAGGCACGGGAGGTTATGGGGACCCCTGAGCAGCTCCGCTTTAGGCTCAGCAGCCCTGGCCCGTCCCAATTTACCCTTGTTGTCCATGGTGGCTTCCGGACCGCCGAGCTCGAGGGTTCAGAGGACGCCCACTCTGCCTCGGTACGTCTGGTGACAGCTCCGACTTGCGAGCCACACACACTGGCAGCGTACAGCACACCTCCACACTCCACTTCCGTCGCCTTGGGGGCGGGGCCGAGAGTACGGCGAGCGGCCCGGGCCAAACCACCTCGCGCATGACAAGACGGCGCCGGAAGCCGGGGTGCGCGGCGTCGGAGACGCTCGCTTCGCGGCTATCTGCTCTTCGCTGAGGAGCCAGGGCAGCCATGGTCTCAGACGGTGAGGGCAGCGGAGGTGGGCCCCCGACCCCAGGGCTGGACGGACTGGGCCCGGCCAGGAGCGGCCAAATGGAGTGTATCTTTTGAGCTGGGTGGAATTTGTTTGAGTCTTTGGAGGAGTAGCTAATGTATCCGTTAATTCATTCAGTAAATGTTCTGGGGTCGCCTGCTGTGTGCCAGCCATTAGTTTCTGCACTGGGGAATACGGCAGAGAACATGACAGTCAGGGTCCCTCGTGGAGGTGACAGTCTAGTGGGCGAGACAGACAATCGGCAAGGAAATAAAAATAATTTCTAAGAGTGTCGAGCTGTGAAGACGATCTAATAGGAGGGTGTGGTAGATTGTTACTAGGGGATGATTGAGGACCAGCTACTGAAGACAGGAGTCCAGGAAAGAGCGAAATATTGAAACTAAGACTTGTATGACTATGAGAATTTCCAGGGGAAGTGTATTTTAAGTGCAAAGGCCCTGTGGCAGGCCCAGCCACCACATTACACTGGGAATACGGAAGTGGAGAGCCTGAGAGTAGAGAATGGGAGAGCGGGGAAAGGCTTTCATTCACATATTAAACTGCCAGTTACAGAGCTTTCTGTCAGAAAGGAAGAGAAAGGAGACCAGGGTGGTGGAAGCAAAATGAGCTAGAGGAGTGAGATCAGAGGGCTAGCCCGTTGTAGGTCATGCAGGGCCTTGT